CACTGTGCCATCGACGCTAAGATTCCTCCTAAAATGACAGTGGCCATTCCTAAACCGAGCAGGCCTGGAGAGCACCTGAAATGAAGGAGAGAAATCTGCCGCAGACACCATTCCGAGTGCGTCCTAAAGGGGACCACAGCACCAGCAGGGGAAGGCTCTGGTCTAGTGGCTCCGGGAAAGTGTCCCACACGCACACGCAAATAAATGACAGTGGCCATTCCTAAACCGAGCAGACCTGGAGAGCACCTGAAATGAAGGAGAGAAATCTGCCGCAGACACCATTCCGAGTGCGTCCTAAAGGGGACCACAGCGCCAGCAGGGGGAAGGCTCTGGTCTAGTGGCTCCAGGGAAAATATCCCACACGCACACGCAAATACAGTGAGCTACATGCACATACACACTGAGCCACACACACTGAGCCACACGCACATACACAGTGAGCCACACACACATACACAGTGAGCCTCATGCACATACACAAGGTGCCAGACGCACACACACAGTGAACCACATGCATGCGCACATACACAGTGAGCCACACGCACATACACAGGGAGCCACACGCACATACACACTGAGCCACACGCACATACACAGTGAGCCACATGCACATACACACTGAGCCACACACATGCGCACATACACAGCGAGCCACACGCATGCGCACATACACAGTGAGCCGGAAGACTGCACAGGACTTCAGTGACTTCCCTCCCATGTACGCAGTCAACCGGGAGATGCAGGCACAGCTCACTCAGGGGACTGAGGCCTCACCCGAGAAGCCTCAAACCCCTGCACAGCTCACCTGGGAATCTCCACCTTCACACGGCCACGCCCGTCCTACCCACTGACCCACTCCGCGGGCACAGCGGGCAGCTTACACACCACACGGACAGGACACACTGTTTTCTCGCCGTCTCTACTCTGTCGCTGCTTCCCCCCTCTCCTAACTGGGCTCCATGCTTTACAGCAAAGCCAGGACGAGAGCCAGGGCTGTCCCCACAGGGACAGGCGGGCATCCGGGCTCGAGGTCACCGGGGCACGCACTCAGTCCCGCCCGCCCTCTCCTGGAGGGTGAGGGTCCTGAGCGGGCAGCTCGAACGTCAGGTCAGTGACGCACAGAACGAATCGAGGCCTTTCCATGACAGCTGGCGAGGGACGTGAGTTTCGAAGGAGAGAGCCACACAGTGCGTGATGCTCGGGCCGGCACCTGGGAGTCAGCACTGGCAGCGGGGAAATCAGAGCTGCAGCTCACACCGGTGAGGAAGCGAAGGGAGAGGCCGTGAGCAGGGGGATGCAGCACGCACACCCGAGTGGAAATATCCACCGCGCAGCTGGGGACCATACAGGACTCTGGAAGGAGGTCAAGAGTAGCTGGAGCAATCTGGGATCTGGGGGAGATCTAAAAATATCCTCCCATTTAATAATTGAAAGCACTCCTCCCCACAGCTGCATTAACCAGCGGCGAGCCGGCTGCCGGGCAGGGCGCACAAGCTCACTGGGAACCACAGAAGGCGTGTGCGCGTGGGGACTCGCCTAACTCAGCACTCCAGGAGCTGAGGGACCCCCTAACCCAGCACCCCAGGAGCTGAGGGACCCCCTAAAAGACTGCTCATTATCAGAGTCACGAACTTCCCCCTCACCCGTCACCCCTGTGCATCCACCCACAGTTAGTGGCTGCTTTCACATCCTGTGCCCACACCCGACCGTTTCCGAGGGCCCGTCTGCCAATCCCACTCCCACCCCAGGTACGAGGTGAGCTTCAAACCTCCCACGGCCAGGGGAGCCAAGGGCCCACAGCATAAACATGGCAGAAAGAGACCTTTCCACCCCAAAGAACGCAAGGCTGCAGTGAATGTTCCAGAACAGGTCCCTTTACATATATACACGTTTTTTTTACTGATCTCAGAGAGGAAGGGAGAGGGAGAGAGAGAGACATCCATGATGAGAGAGAATCACTCATCGGCTGCCTCCTGCACCCCCTCCCTGGGGATGGAGCCCACAACCCGGCCTGTGCCCTGATGGGAACTGAACTGTGACCTCCTGGTTCATAGGTCGATGCTCAACCACTGAGCCACCCTGGCCGGGCCCAAACAGGTCACTTTAAAACCAGGTCTTCAAGAACTATATGCTTCAGAGGCAACTTGGGAAAGGTCTCATTTCTACCAACAGTGCAGACTCCGTTTCTTAAGAACAGTTTGGACTTGTATCACATTTTGAAACCAATGAACCGAAACGGCACGTTAGGAGATAAACAGGCGTCAGCGATAAGAGGTTTCGCCCTCTCCCCAGCGTGCGGCCCAGATAAGAGGGACTCCAGGGAGCGGCGTGTGAAGCGCTCTCCGAGGCCTGCCAGGGGCGCGGACGGGTTTTTCTTGTGCGCCAGCCTCAGCACAACCCACCCGACAGGGTCATCACACTCCCCGGATCTGAGCTTGGAAACCGCCATCACCTGAAAGGCCTGAGGGACGGGGACGGGGCGTGCTGCTCAAGGCGATTGCCATCGTTTCCTACGAAGCTGGCGAGCTGCCCGCTGCATCCATGTGCCAGGGCACGCGAGGCTCCTGAGAAGTGAAGGCTTCTGGCCACTCACCTCGGCCCAGTATCACCTTCAAAGCCACACCTAGGCCTCTTCGCCCACAGTCCCTGCCATGGAGGAGGCACCAGCAGTGGGAACAATGGGGGCACTGGATTTAAAGAGACGAGTCCCGACTTAGCCGGTGTTGCTCAGTGGATAGAGCGTCGGCCTGCGGACTGGAGGGTCCCAGGTTCGATTCCAATCAAGGGCACATGCCCAGGTTGTGAGCTTGATCCCCAGTAGGCGTGCAGGATGATTCTCTCTATTGATTGATGCTTCTCTCTCCCTCCCTCTCTGAAATCAATTAATAAAAAAAAAAAAAAAAAGACGAGTCTTTGTTCACCCACGTCCTTGGTAGGGGGTCTGAGCCCCCAGGTCCACAGATGTGCCTGCGACCCTCCTCGACTCCAGCGCCCGCCCCCTGCCCTGAGCACCAGCTCTCCCCTCGGCGTGCGCACAGGCCGCCCCTTCAGCCCTGCTCCCCCTCCTCCAACCTTCACGCGGGGGCTCTTTCCACTCAGACTCATGAGTGTCACCTCCTCAGGGCACGGCCCTGACCCCCGGGGTCACTCATTCCCTACAGGACAGTCACTCCCTACAACACTGAGGGCCCCCGGACAGTCACCCGGCGGCGTCTTCAGAGCAGATGCCAGTGAAGAGTTCGCTCCCTCCTTCCCCATCACATGCGGGCGGGCGAGGTGCTGGGCCGCATTCCTCAGCTCACAGTCCGCCCTCTCCCGTGACCACACCTCCCGCTCTCATCTCTTCACGGGTGGCACAGGGAGCCCCAACTCCACCCGGGAGCCGGCTTCTCCCTGACAAGGGGTCACACACATGGAGGAGACGTGAGTGACCTGGGGAGGCCGGGAATGGGAGTGTGGGCACGAGCCCGGGGCTCCTATCTCCCTGCGGAGAGCGACGTAGCCACGGGCTATGTGGGCACCACGTGGGTCTCCTCGCTGCCTGCCATGGGCGCAGCGCCTCTCAGCTGCTTTCTGAGACCCTGCCCGCCCGAAGGAGGCAGCGCCCCGAGAAAGGCTGCTCCAGGGATGGAGCAGGAACCGTGCAAGATGAGCTAAGAATCTGTGCGAGCGCACGCGTGTGTTTAAGAGTGTGAGCATGTGTGCGCGTGAGAGAGCGTGTGTGGGTGAGAGAGCGAGTGTGTGTATGTGTGAGAGCATGAGAGAGCGTGTGTGCACGTGCGCATGTGTGTGTGTGAGAGCATGTGTGTGGGTGAGAGAGAGCGCGTGTGTGTGTGTGTGTGTGTGTGTGTGTGCGTGGGGGGAAGGGGAAGAGAGAGAATAAAAGAATGCTAACCATCGGTCACCCTGGGTCCAGGGCACTCAGGAGTTCTCTGGATTATGTTAGGTTTTGAAATTATTCTTCGGGGGGGGGGGGGGGGGGGGGAGAAACGGGGCAGAATGCTAACAATCGGTCACCCTGGGTCCAGGGCACTCAGGAGTTCCCTGGATTATGTTAGGTTTTGAAATTATTCTGGGGAAAAAAAAAGTTGCAAAACCTTGAGATGCCCCAAATCAATCTTCCCCCCCAAATGTGAGCATCTTCCAGGGTCCCCTCCACCCATGAGCCACTAGCTGCCCAGTCGGAACCGCGGGGTCATCACCCAGCCCCGTCCCTCTCTCTCCACTCCCAAATCACACCCATCACCAAATCCAGTCCCAACCCACCCATCTCTGGGCTGGAGCCCGCGCCCCCGGCCCAGGCAGTCAGCGCCGGTCACAGGCCAGGCACTTACCCCTACACCTGTCTCCTCCACGCGTCCACCCTCGTCCCTGCTCCAGCCAACCACTCTCCCAGAGACAGGCCTGCTTATCCCCAGAGCAAACTGGTCACGTCTCCGTCTCCGCCAGCAACGAGCCGGGTTTTCAAAGACCTCTGACCTCTCTGGGGGTTAAGCCCTCCCTGTGACCTGCAGGGAGGCCTGCCCTGCCCCTGCCTAGCTCCTGTGGCCACGCTCCCTCCCCTGCAGAGCTGTCTGCCTCTGCCATTCCGGCCGCTCTGCTCTGAACGCCCTTCTCTCTGTTCCTCATTCTCTCACAAAATACTAGTACGTGCTCAATGAACTAGTCATTCTAGTTTTAAATCCATTGTTCCTTAAGCTGGCCCTTCAAACAGCTCTGTCCCACTCTACCTTTCCAGCCGGGTCTCCCACCTCCTCCAACCCGCTGGGCACACCACCTCCCCCAACCCGCTGGGCACACCACCTCCCCCAACCCACTGGGCTGAGCTGCGTCACTGACACGTCCTGGGTCTCAGCCTCCGGCCGCACACACCAGCTCCTCCACCTGCAGTGCCTGCCCTCCCTCCAGGGCCCAGTGTGACCAGCCTCCCTCCAGGGCCCAGTCGCCCGCCACCTCCCCTCCTTAGGCGTTTCCGGAGCTCCGTGCAGTTACACGTTCAC